GAAGAGGAGAAACGATCGAATTTTAAGAAGATTGTCTCTTTTGGACAACAAACATCAAGACAGAAATTAAGATAATGTGTTATGTTGGCAATTGTGTTATCAAGAGCTTGTTCAGTAAATAAGTCCCAGTTTGTGTCTTTTAACATGGACCTTAGATTCAGTATGTTGTCATGGGAATAACATCTGTGTTGTGTTTTCTTTCCAAGGTATGAGAAGACCCTTTTGTGCTGCTTTCCATATACTTTGGGCAATATTCTTATGATACAGTGATCTGAATTTAGTAGTGGGGCTCTTTTTCGAGCTTCAAATATTCCTGCATCGTTTGTAAACACAAGATCAAGAGTGTTGTCCATTCTAGTCGGGAAGTTGACAATATTATCGTGTCCAAGTGAAATTAGGAAGCTGTGATCACTAGAATTGAAATCACCAGTAACCACAGACAAGGAATTTTCGAAGGAGGTGGCAGCAAGGGAAGTAAATTCATCCGCAAATAAAGACAATTCTGTGGAGTTGCATCCAGGAGCAATATACATGTTCGAGATGTAAATGTAGTTGTATTTTGACAAATGTTTAGGTCGACACTTAACAGTGAGACAGTCAATATTGTCACTAGAGAATTTGAAACGTACATTATTAGACGTACACCATTGTGAATTGATGAAGATGGCGACACCGCCACCGCGTTTCTTCCTGGAACTACACCGATCTTGTCTGAATAGTTTGAAATTATTTAGATACACTAGATTGTCATCATATAGATCATGAAGCCATGTTTCTTGAAGTGATATGATCCCAGTATTATGATATATAATGGAAGACACCAGCGATTGAAGACAGTTAATTTTAGCCGGCAGGGAGCAACAATTGGTACCCATAATTGTGCTTTGCCGGTTAAAGGATCGATCCTGTGGAGCCTTTGAAACTCAGCAATTCAGTTTATCTAATACCCTGCTTGAATGATTGTCAGGTCAAATACGTAGGTGAAACTAGTATAAGAGGGGCAGTCAGACTAGCCGAACATATAAACCTAGCAGCAAAATCTAGATTGGTTGACCCGAATAAGATAATAATAATAATAACAGCTTTATTCCAAACGGTATTTGCGGTACAGGTATGGAATTTTCAGCGTGCATTACAGTATATTGCATCTAATTACCTCATAAATTATATAAGATTTTTAAAAATCAAAGATAAATATATAAAAATAAAATATATAAGTTATAAATAAATAAAATAAATAAAATTAAGAAAAAACAGCGTAGAGTATTACATTTCAAACAATGCACCACAGGATTTGAAATATAAAGTTGATGTGTGATAGAAGATGAGAACAACAGTGTAATAGTAACGAGGAAAGGAAAACAAAAACTAATGGGACTATTTGTCAGAGTGCCACAGTAAGTTGATCGTGTCATACCTAACGGATTTCTCATCACATAACAGCTGTGCCAGATATGGTATTGTGGAGTTTTTGTGCTTGGTAGTCTTACCATATAGCCAGCCTCCTATAGCTGCTTCTTGTTCTACCAGATGAAATGCAAGGAGACAGCTGTGTATAGAGGTGTCCGACAATATTGTATTCGCTAGTTTCTTACATGACATAATATGTCTGTCTACAATAGTGTTAACCAGTTGGTTTAACGATATCCCACTTGCCCTACTAACGGCTTTTAATGCCTGCCCTTCTCAGCAAAGCAAAGTCTTTCTTAAGTAGTCCAGGAAAGACTAATGGGGAGCAGTAAACGGGGATGGGTAGAATACAAGAATTTACAAATTGAGAAAGCAAAGATTGCTTTATGCCAGACTGCCTAAATTTCCTAATGTAGATAGAATGTTAAGCGAAACATCTTTCTAGTAACTAGCAAGATGTGGGAGGACCAGGAGAGATCGGTGGAAAAACTCAGCCCAAGGTACTTGACATTAGATGTATTTCCAACTTCTGTGCCGTCAATGATAGTGGGGCCATGTGAGCTAACTAGTCGTTGTAGGTCACATTTACGTCTGAAAGTGAAATTGACTACCTGACATTTAGACAGATTCAGCTTAAGTGCGTTTGAAGAGGACCACTGACTAATTTCCGACAGAAAGTTATTTAATTTTGAACAATCTGACTGAGAGTTGACAGGCATAGAAACAGAGAGGTCATCAGCATACTTAACAAAAGTGGCTAAATCAGAATGGGGAAAGTCATGTAAGAAAAACGAAAACAGAAAAGGAGAGAGAACAGCACCTTGAGGAACACTAGCTAAATTAAGTGAGGTAGTGGAGGACTTTCCATTGTAGACGGTGTACTGCTTCCTTTCAGAAAAATAGGAATGCAACCACTTATTTGTCCAGCTTTCAGCCTGTGTTTCAGCAAGCTTACTTAGCAAGAGAGACCTGGGAACAGAGTCAAATGCAGATGTGTAATCAAGGAAGGCACAGCGAACGTATTTAGCTCCTTTATCTAAACTAGAGACTATACTATGATGTAGAACAACAGCGGCATCTAACGTACACCTACTATGTTTATAAGCAAACTGGTTCGGGTCGTTGAAAGGCTTTAAAGAGGGATCAAGATTAAGTAAAATAAGTCTTTCCATAACTTTCAAAAAAGGTGAAGTAATAGCAATGGGTCTAAACTTAACATTAGGTCCACTTGTTGATTTAGGCACTGGGACGATCTTGGTATTTTTCCATGATTTAAGTATAATACTTTTGGAAAACGATTCGTTAAAAATGCCAGTTAATGGGGAGCACAAGATGTCGGCACACTTCTTAAGGATAACAGCAGGAACACCATCAGGACCGAGGGACTGAGTAGGCTTGAGAGATTGAAGACGCTTGAGGACATCATTCGTGTTAAAGCATGAGAAGCAGTCATTGTTTACACTATTTGAGTTAGGAATCATAACATTTGCTGGGATACATATGAAGGATTCATTAAGCATTTTAACATCTACAGAAATATCATTCATCCTTTGCTTACCACCTGTGATTTCCTTTAATAACTTCCACATATTTGATGGGGATTTACATGAAAAAAACTTCTGGTTATAGAGAGCATTCAATCTTTGTAATTCAAGCTTAATCAAAGTGTTCATTCTCTTAACACCAGATTTGTTTTTTATTTTGAACAACCTTTCCATTATAGATAAGATTTTATTTTGATAAATCGCACAGTTCATATAACTGTAAACACTGTGCGATTTATCAAAATAAAATCTTATCTATAATGGAATTATACTCTACCACAGTGCCCAAGTTTTATACTTATATTGAACAACCTTTCTTTTTCCCGGCGGAGCTTTTTGAGTTGAGAAGAGGAGAAACGATCGAATTTTAAGAAGATTGTCTCTTTTGGACAACAAACATCAAGACAGAAATTAAGATAATGTGTTATGTTGGCAATTGTGTTATCAAGAGCTTGTTCAGTAAATAAGTCCCAGTTTGTGTCTTTTAACATGGACCTTAGATTCAGTATGTTGTCATGGGAATAACATCTGTGTTGTGTTTTCTTTCCAAGGTATGAGAAGACCCTTTTGTTCTGCTTTCCATATACTTTGGGCAATATTCTTATGATACAGTGATCTGAATTTAGTAGTGGGGCTCTTTTTCGAGCTTCAAATATTCCTGCATCGTTTGTAAACACAAGATCAAGAGTGTTGTCCATTCTAGTCGGGAAGTTGACAATATTATCGTGTCCAAGTGAAATTAGGAAGCTGTGATCACTAGAATTGAAATCACCAGTAACCACAGACAAGGAATTTTCGAAGGAGGTGGCAGCAAGGGAAGTAAATTCATCCGCAAATAAAGACAATTCTGTGGAGTTGCATCCAGGAGCAATATACATGTTCGAGATGTAAATGTAGTTGTATTTTGACAAATGTTTAGGTCGACACTTAACAGTGAGACAGTCAATATTGTCACTAGAGAATTTGAAACGTACATTATTAGACGTACACCATTGTGAATTGATGAAGATGGCGACACCGCCACCGCGTTTCTTCCTGGAACTACACCGATCTTGTCTGAATAGTTTGAAATTATTTAGATACACTAGATTGTCATCATATAGATCATGAAGCCATGTTTCTTGAAGTGATATGATCCCAGTATTATGATATATAATGGAAGACACCAGCGATTGAAGACAGTTAATTTTAGCCGGCAGGGAGCAACAATTGGTACCCATAATTGTGCTTTGCCGGTTAAAGGATCGATCCTGTGGAGCCTTTGAAACTCAGCAATTCAGTTTATCTAATACCCTGCTTGAATGATTGTCAGGTCAAATACGTAGGTGAAACTAGTATAAGAGGGGCAGTCAGACTAGCCGAACATATAAACCTAGCAGCAAAATCTAGATTGGTTGACCCGAATAAGATAATAATAATAATAACAGCTTTATTCCAAACGGTATTTGCGGTACAGGTATGGAATTTTCAGCGTGCATTACAGTATATTGCATCTAATTACCTCATAAATTATATAAGATTTTTAAAAATCAAAGATAAATATATAAAAATAAAATATATAAGTTATAAATAAATAAAAATTAAGAAAAAACAGCGTAGAGTATTACATTTCAAACAATGCACCACAGGATTTGAAATATAAAGTTGATGTGTGATAGAAGATGAGAACAACAGTGTAATAGTAACGAGGAAAGGAAAACAAAAACTAATGGGACTATTTGTCAGAGTGCCACAGTAAGTTGATCGTGTCATACCTAACGGATTTCTCATCACATAACAGCTGTGCCAGATATGGTATTGTGGAGTTTTTGTGCTTGGTAGTCTTACCATATAGCCAGCCTCCTATAGCTGCTTCTTGTTCTACCAGATGAAATGCAAGGAGACAGCTGTGTATAGAGGTGTCCGACAATATTGTATTCGCTAGTTTCTTACATGACATAATATGTCTGTCTACAATAGTGTTAACCAGTTGGTTTAACGATATCCCACTTGCCCTACTAACGGCTTTTAATGCCTGCCCTTCTCAGCAAAGCAAAGTCTTTCTTAAGTAGTCCAGGAAAGACTAATGGGGAGCAGTAAACGGGGATGGGTAGAATACAAGAATTTACAAATTGAGAAAGCAAAGATTGCTTTATGCCAGACTGCCTAAATTTCCTAATGTAGATAGAATGTTAAGCGAAACATCTTTCTAGTAACTAGCAAGATGTGGGAGGACCAGGAGAGATCGGTGGAAAAACTCAGCCCAAGGTACTTGACATTAGATGTATTTCCAACTTCTGTGCCGTCAATGATAGTGGGGCCATGTGAGCTAACTAGTCGTTGTAGGTCACATTTACGTCTGAAAGTGAAATTGACTACCTGACATTTAGACAGATTCAGCTTAAGTGCGTTTGAAGAGGACCACTGACTAATTTCCGACAGAAAGTTATTTAATTTTGAACAATCTGACTGAGAGTTGGTTGACAGGCATAGAAACAGAGAGGTCATCAGCATACTTAACAAAAGTGGCTAAATCAGAATGGGGAAAGTCATGTAAAAAAAACGAAAACAGAAAAGGAGAGAGAACAGCACCTTGAGGAACACTAGCTAAATTAAGTGAGGTAGTGGAGGACTTTCCATTGTAGACGGTGTACTGCTTCCTTTCAGAAAAATAGGAATGCAACCACTTATTTGTCCAGCTTTCAGCCTGTGTTTCAGCAAGCTTACTTAGCAAGAGAGACCTGGGAACAGAGTCAAATGCAGATGTGTAATCAAGGAAGGCACAGCGAACGTATTTAGCTCCTTTATCTAAACTAGAGACTATACTATGATGTAGAACAACAGCGGCATCTAACGTACACCTACTATGTTTATAAGCAAACTGGTTCGGGTCGTTGAAAGGCTTTAAAGAGGGATCAAGATTAAGTAAAATAAGTCTTTCCATAACTTTCAAAAAAGGTGAAGTAATAGCAATGGGTCTAAACTTAACATTAGGTCCACTTGTTGATTTAGGCACTGGGACGATCTTGGTATTTTTCCATGATTTAAGTATAATACTTTTGGAAAACGATTCGTTAAAAAATGCCAGTTAATGGGGAGCACAAGATGTCGGCACACTTCTTAAGGATAACAGCAGGAACATCATCAGGACCGAGGGACTGAGTAGGCTTGAGAGATTGAAGATGCTTGAGGACATCATTCGTGTTAAAGCATGAGAAGCAGTCATTGTTTACACTATTTGAGTTAGGAATCATAACATTTGCTGGGATACATATGAAGGATTCATTAAGCATTTTAACATCTACAGAAATATCATCAAGGTCTTCAACTCCGTGCATCGAAAGGTACTATGGCAATGTCTGACTGTGAAGGGAGTGCCAAGAAAGTACATTGCACTAATCAAGGCACTTTATTCAAACTCACGTAGTCGTGTAAGGGCTTATGGGGAATTGTCATCTGAATTGATAACAACCAGTGGTGTCCGACAGGGATGTCCACTTTCCCCATTTCTGTTTAACTTCATCATAGATATGCTAATGGAAGTATCCTTAACTGAACGTAATGACTTAGGAATCGACTTGTTACCAGGGAATAGTCTTATGGACTTAGAATATGCAGATGACATAGTCCTGTTAGGGGAGGATGCTGACAAAATGCAGAGTCTTCTGAACACCTTGAGCAGCAATCTTCGTATGTTTGGCATGCGATTCGCCCCTGCCAAATGTAAGATGCTGCTACAGGACTGGACTACGTCAAATCCTAGCTTAGTGATAGGGAGTGAAGTGATAGAACATGTTGACCACTTCACCTATTTGGGAAGTTGTATCAGCACCAACGGACTGATTGGCGACGAAATCTCAGCACGGATCCAAAAAGCTCGAGCTGCTTTCGCTGACTTACACCATCTCTGGCGTAGGCGTGACATCCGGCTGGCTATCAAACAAGGGACGTGTGTACTGCTCAGTAGTTCGCTCCGTCCTTCTCTATGGCTCTGAAACATGGCCAATACGAGTTAAAGACATGAAAAAGCCGACTGTTTTTGATCATAGATGTTTACGATCTCTTTCTCACGTTAGGTGGTATAATAAGGTAAGTAATGTTGACGTTAGGCGTAGTGTTGGGGAAAGAGGGAAAATCAATCGACGAGGCTATAAAGTTACATAGATTGAGATGGCTAGGTCGGTCAGGTGCTGCGCATGCCTAACCACCGCCTCCCCCGACGGGCATTGCTAGCTGATATAGGTGCAGGTTGGAAAAGAGTAAGTGGAGGCCAAACAAAAACATGGCCTCATCAATCCATGAAATCCTAGACAGTTAAACTGAGTCAGGTAGGGAGATGCAGACTCCCGGGTTGGGGCCCTCGGGACTCTAGGAATCAATGGCTGGAGACAATAGGTGACATGGCTCAAAATCGTTGTCAATGGCCAGCGCAGATGTATTCAGTCTCTGTAATCTTTCATATTCCTTTCTACCATTACCCATTCTGTTTCACTCTTATACTTGTCAGACTGTATTGATTCTCTTCACTCATCTTCTTGTCTACTTTTGTGTGCTATTTGGAAGGTGGCAACTCGAACTGGTGCACTTCGGTGACAAGTTCTATGTTGAATCCAGACAGAATATATATATATATATATATATATATATATATATATATAGATGAGAAATCTAGAGAATAGTTCAGCTATGGATAGCACTACATGCAGTTACACACAAACATACAACAGGATGGGCTAGGATGACAGTTTTGAAGTCTAATCTAATGTGACAGGGTGGAGCGAGAAATTGATAACAGAAGCTTAGTTTATCGAATCAAGTGAAAGAGAATACGTGTAAGAGGAATGATTCAACACCTGTCCAGGTAGATATCTGGAAAATTCTACTACCCCAACGACGACAAATAGAAGAGAACAAAGTAAACCATAAAACTCAAGTTTCAAAGTCGTGTGATTAGAATTGATGAAATGATTATGAACAATAAATTGTGTTCGAAACCTTGTCATCCAGTAAAAAATACTGTTTCACTCACTGAGTGATACATCTAATAAACAAACTAATATGGAATAGACGACGCCACTTTGCATGATGATTACCGTGATGTTATTCTGTTCGATAGTCACTACCAATAGAATCGTGTTTGTGATTGGTCACAGTTGGATGTAATTGCAATCCACAGTGATTGATTGTGTTCCCCCTTGAGTTTTGAATAGTCAACCAAGTCTGAGCATTTTTAGTCCAATATACTTAGTCAAAAGAAAATGCAACTTGACATATTAAAACAAAACAAAAAAAAGTAATAGCCAATATCCGTTTTTACAAAAGGTGGCTTTTATGGCCTACTGGCTGGCCTTGTGTTTGTCTGAAACGATAGGTGAAGGGTTCTAGTCTCGGCGAGGACATCCCAATGCAAATACACGTAAGTGATGAATCCTGAATAGTATGAAATGCGCATTCCGGATTCCTCCACTGACGGTTACTCACTATCTGCCAAAATAACATTTATATTTCTTTTTTGTCTAATAAACATTACGTTTTGCTGACTGACTGTCTCTCTTTTTTTCATTGAGCCTTTTTATTTTCATTTTGTCGATCAAGTTTTCATCTATGCGGCGTTTATTTAAGTTATCTCGACCAGAATGGAAATTTTTAACTCTGGGATGTATAGCTGCATCAATCACTGGTGGTCTACAACCTGTTTTTGCTGTTCTATACTCAGAAATGTATGCTGTAAGTGGTACATATTATTCACATAATTTATTCTAAGGAGGAAAAAGAGAGACAGTACCTGTCTATTTTTCAGGTTTTTACATGTAATATTTGTGAAATCGTAAATAACACAGTTGTTTACACAGTTTAACAATTAGTGGTTTTTTCTGTTATGTTTATGCCTTTCTGAATTACATGTAAACTGTACACTTATGCATGGTTTTATGTCCATCACTTTAGTGAACAGTTGTTAAAACTACATTCAGCTCTTTGGTCATGTAAGTCGAATTGACGAAAAATGTAAATCAATAGAATAAGATATCAGTTAGAGAACCACTGGAAAACCTGGGAGTACTGGACAGCTGTTTCGTCCTAGTTTGGGACTCTTCAGCAGTACGCACCCACCGGGATTCGAACCCAGGACCTTCTGGTTACAAGGCGAGCTCGTAGACCATTGAGCCACTGGGACCCGATCCAATGGTCCTTGAATTCTAACTTCTGCCAGTTCACGACATAGCGCGACCACTTCGCAATGTCTTCTTCGGTGAGTTACTGCCTCATCTTCAGAAGGTCCTGGGTTCGAATCCCGGTGGGTGCGTACTGCTGAAGAGTCCCTAACTAGGACGAAACAGCTGTCCAGTACTCCCAGGTTCTCCAGTGGTTCTCTAACTGATGTCAGCTCATGATTAAACCCTCCATGCAATCAAACAAAATCCCTACAAAACCAATACTTGAAGAATAAGATATATATTGTGATTGATAATTGATTGAGACTGTATAACTCAAGGCTGCTTACTGTGACCAATAATATTTCTGTTGGGAAAGGGACTGCATCATTTAAAAGAGATCGTGGTGTGAGTCAGAGGATGAGCATATGTTGGACTAACGAAAAGACTTTAGATCTCAGCTTTGTTGATGATATATTTATGTCTAATGTTAAACGTAACGACGGATCTCTCTAAAGAATCTATCCACGGGAAACGTACATGGAACGGACAACTAACTAATTTTTACAGTTGGGTGCCTATTTCCAGGAAAAGCAACCTTATTCTTTCGCTCTGCTTTAGGATGAGGAAAATTTGCAGTTCTGATTGCATTGACTCAGTACTTGACCTCTTTTTTTATTTTTTTTTATTTTTTTTATTTATTTTTTTTTTTTGATTACAGCTTGATTCCACACTGTATTTTTGGTACCAGTATGGAATTTTCAGCATGGATATCGGTCGCCCAAATTTTGCAGTCCGACCGTAGATATCAGGTGTGCGTCGGCAGGGGATCGAACCTCGGACCATGTGCATGGTCGGTGAGAGTCCTAACCACTGTGCCACCGACGCAGAAAATGGTTACCCTAACAGATTTAATGGCAGCAACATGAAAGATAAGCAGTCTAAACTGGTCACCGACTCAGTTCCAAAGAAAACCTTATTCATGAACTTGGAATTCAAAGGTGATGAAGCCTCAGATATGCTTAAAAATCGTCTCTCTAAATCAGTCAATAAGACGTTCTTTGCAGCAAAATTACAAATGACGTTCACTAGCCGCAAGTTGTTCTCTACCTCTGTAAAAGATAAACTCCGTCATCTGTCTGCCTCCATGTGCATCTACCAGTTCGTCTGCTGTTGTGGAGCAACGTACATTGGTCGTAGTCAGAGAACGCTCTCCACACGGATACGAGAACATATTCCAGCTGCATGGTTTTACAAGGTAGAAAGGAAGTGTGTGCGAAGCTCTATTCTGGAACACCTAATCGACTTCTGTCACTCTGTTAACCCCGACCATAATTTCAAGATCATATAGAAAATCCATGCTTAATTCCCGCGTTTTCTTCGTTACAGACTTCTAAAGACAGCTGAGGCCTTGGTAATTCATGACTTCAAGCCAACCAGACCTTTGTGTACAAAAGAAGTACGTGCAATCCCCACTTCTGCCTTGGCCGTAGAGGGATAGACATATATTTATTTTGTTTATTTAGTTATTCTATGTACTTTGCCCTTATTACTACGTTTATTATTATCATTATTGTTACTACCATTCTCACTCTGAATCTTTTCCATTTGACCCACTTGTCATTTTAAACCCAAAATTACTAATTTTTTTATTTTTACAAGTGTTTGTTGACAGTCCGTTGCTTGGTGACATATATCCATATATGGTTGTTCACATGTCTGCTATATTCGCTATGTATATTTGGATCGACACTCCATTATAATTAGCCATTCATGTTAAGACTGTCTAATGATTTATTCCCACGCTTTGTCTGGAACATTCATATATATTTCGCATACACAATCTTGTGATTTACTTTACAATTACTTTACTTACTTATCACTTTGGTGTGAGACCATTTATTTTCGTCCCTTGTGTTTGGACAATAGAAGTATCATCGCAAACCTAGTGGTCTTCTGATTTCCGCCTTCTCGCGTCAGGACTATTAATTTCTCGACCAGTCCATAATAATAATTTAGCGACGAGTACATAACAATTTCACACCATGTTATGTAACATTTTATATTGGTCTACTAATCTTATAATTATGTATACCTTTCAAAATCTATACACCTTATGTATTATCCTATATATGACATTAATTATTTTGCCAGTTGATATTTAACTATGATTATCATCACAAATATTTTAATTGCATTTCATACTACTATTATTATTTCATGTATTCACACCTTTGACCTAATTCCCTCAACGGATATAATTTCTTAAAATTATCAGTGCAGTGACAAATGTGTCTAGGATGATACTGAAACGTTTTCCAAAGTAAAATCTCATTCCAAAGAAAATTATAATCTGAATGAATAACCATATTCCTACTGGTTATATTATGAGACTGAACAAACCCACCTTTGTGGGCCACCAGATCCTTTGAATGTCTGTGAAATAAGACTTAGATCACTATGAAAGAATTAATTCAGTGTATCTGATAGTCCATCAAAACAATTAACAGAAAATCTAAAATATAAAGAAACAATAAACGACACCTGTATTCCATGAGTAGTGATTCACTCTGAGGCCTAGGAAACAATACCCATTGACATTTACTGTAACTTATGGACTTCGCCGATGACACATGTCTGATTTCTTACACACTGAAAGATATGCAAGTGAAAAGCAACAAGTTGGCAATAGAAGAAGCATCAAAGATAGGAGGGACTTCAGGTGAACATAGAGAAAACAGAGGCGATGAAGATTTCTGGCTAACAACATCAGACAACGTTCAGAGTAAATGGGGGAACCTGAAAGAAACAACCTCCTTTACCTACCAACCTAAATGGTAAGCATCGTTTCAACTACAGGCGAACGGAACTGACGAGGATATCAAAGCAAGAATCGTGGAAGCAGGACAAGCCTTCATTACTCTCAAATCTGTGTGGAGGTCAACAACACTCCTCATCATGACAATGAAAATAAGATCCGGACTTTGAACTCCAATGTGAAGTCAGTGCTGCTATACGCGTGGATCAGAGACGTGGCGCCACATCAATGAGAGCACCTCAAACAAACTACAGACCTTCATTTAACAGTTGTCTTTGCTCAATACTCAGTATCAGATGGCCGGCCAGAAAAGATCAGCAACAGGGGTCTCTTAAAGCGAACGAACCAGGAACCTATTGTGCAACAAATAAGCAAGAAGAAATGAAGGTGGATTGGCCATACACTGAGGAAACCATCAAATGACATCACTAGACAAGCCATTGCTCGAGTGGAACCCGAAAGGGAAGCGGCGAGTTGGTCGTCATTCTGAGGGTGACTTGGAGGAGGTCATGTTAAGAGGAGATGAAAGCATGTGGGCAAACTTGGTTCCAGGTGAAAACTTTAGCAGAGAATCGAACGCAATATAGACGTTCGGCTGAAGCCGTATGTACGTCTAGGAATTAAAGGAAATAATAATTATAATAATGTTAGCTATCAATCCGATGTGTTATACCAACACACTGAGGATTGGTCGAACGTGTTGCTAAAATGATAAAATATTCACCATGATTTTCATTCTGAATTTCCTATTTATTGTTTCTTTTCTAATTTGCTTATAGATATTTAATTTAACCCAAAAACCAGATGAAATGCAAACCAGAGCTAATTTCATTTCAAGTATTATAGCTGGACTTGGTTTAATTCGATTGATCTCCTCTACTTGTCAGGTCAGTATTTTAGTCGTAATAAGTGGGTAAACACTTTTTTTATCCCTTTGTGTTTCAAGTGGGACATACGGATTTAAGTTTTAAACTTTCAGTAATGTTGGTACATTTTCTTTCGAGGTAATGCTGTCAGCTTCAAATCCAACCTTCTCTCTTTACCCAGCTGACTACCGACTAGGTTAGGTTTAGGAGTGAGTCGGTTGCGAATTCAACCTTTGGACCAAGTTTGTGGTTGGCATGCATTTTACCGCTGATTTATAATACTAACACGAATTTTTCAGTAGTATGTAGTATTACGTTTTCTGTTAGCAAAGTTGTGAATACGGAAAGGTAATGGAAAAACTTTCAAATAGGGGAAAACTTGAGGAAAATAGAGAGTAATAAACATAGAAGACGTAACATAAGACAGAAAGCACCATAAATCTATAATAGTTTATTTTTTAATCTTTTGTTCTCTGTTCTGGATTGTTATTATTATTATTTTTCCCTTGGTTCCGAGTGTAAAATAGACTTTCGACAGCACATCGCCACTTTTTTGCTACTCTTTGCTGTCCCCCTGTAACAACAGAGGACAAGCGCCAGGCAACAGATCGTTTATTAAGGAAATCAACACATATTTATAGATTTTCATGTACATTATTATAGATTGTTGTTAACAGAAAAACACAGTCTTCTGATTGGTTCTTTCTCACTGAGAGTTAACCTTGCATCTCTTTTTGGCTGTTTCTTGAATTACAGATCATCTATATGTCAACTGTATCCGCCTACGCAAAGCCTTTGTTCTCATTTTTCCCATCACCAATATTGGGGACATACACACTGACGTAAATTACTGTCCACCAATTTTAACTAGCAGCCAGCTCTCATCACACTCCTTATTTGATCCCACAATCACCCATAGTCTATCATCTCAGACGATTTCTTCCATGTCACTTTTGGACGCCCCATTCGTCGTCACCTATTTGGATTGCACCTGAGAGCTGGCCTGGCTTGCGATGTCATCCAAGGATCTCTTGAGCGTGTGTCCAATCCATCCTCATTTCCTTCAGAATACTTTTTGAACAATAGGTTCTTCACTGGTTGGCTCGTTCCCAGAATTCTTTCTGGTGTATGATCTTCAAGACGGTGGGGAAGGCAACTGTTGATAAAAGTCTGAATTAGCCGGTTGGAAATTCTTTTCGTGACGCAAGCGCGCCAAGTTTCTGAATCGCACAGAAACACTGACTTTCTTTATTATACTATTTTTGAAAATACGAATTTCGTCCTCTATTTTGAGTTCAGAAGGTTTCTAAACTGAGTTCAGAGTGATGAATGTCTGCCTTGCCTTCCTTATCCTGGTTTTCATAGCCTCGTTCGTGCCGATTGCCTGCGGTTGAGACAGTCTTCTCATCTGTCCAATTTATTCCTGTCTTCGTAGTCCCCTCGCACAGCCCGTTGCACAATCCAGTCAACCACTCTTAGTAATACCATCGTGAGTGACTGTAGGCAGTCTTGTTTAACTCCTGCATTCACTTCAAAGTTTTCGCTAAATTTCCTCTTGTGACATTGTCTCTCTGAGCTGGATGGATGGATGTTTTATAATTCTGAAGCTTTCTGTACACAACACTGCTTAAGCGATAACTTCTGGTTTAGAACTGAGTCTCCTTGGGAATTTTTCATAAATGATATTTTTTTGTGTGTCTCATTGTAATTTATTACTGCCCCTGTAAAATTCCTTATGATTGTATTTACTTATATGATTGATTATATATCCACTTGTTGACCTCATATTAGTCGTGTGATCTATTTTCTCTTTTTTTCATTGGTCGGTAGTTTTTTTTCAAATTCAATTTAATGTTGTTATACTCTAATAAACATTGAATAGTGAATTTACCAAATGCCATAGATCCACATCCGTAACCTATTCATCATTTATCACACTAGGTCGTTACCACGATTATTATTATTGTTGTAATGACTACCATTCTTATTATGTGGGCGTAAGTAGTAAGCTGATATGAGTGTTTGACAGGGAGTTATGGTTTTTCAATGAAATTTGCAATTCGCAAACTTAATCCACCGATTTACAGCTTTTACATTTCGAGATAGAAAATACATTGCACTGATCAAGGCACCCACTCTACTCGAACTCATGCAGCAGCAGGTGAAGGCTTACGGCGAGTTGTCATCTGAAGTGGTGACGACTAGTGGTGTCCGTCAATGATGCCCATTATCCCCGTTTCTATTCAATTTCATCATAGATGTACTAATGGACTTAACTCTAAGTCACTTTAGAGACTCAGAGATTGACTTGCTACCAGGGAATAATCTCGCTGACTTAGAATATGCAGACGATATAGCCTTTCTAGACGAGGACGCTGACAAAATAAAGCAGAGTCTTATAAACACCTTGAGCTGTAATCTACGAATGTTTGGCATGCGATTGATCCTCTCCCGCCAAATGTAAGATGATGTTACAGGACTGGACTGGATTATACTGACTCCTAGTTTAGAAACAGGAGTGAAGTTGTAGAGCATGTTGACCGCTTCACTTATTTGGAATGCCGTCAGCCAACGCCAACGGGTTGATCTCTGACGAAATCTCAGCACGGATACAGAGGGCTGGTTTCGCATATGCCAGTTTACGCCGTCTCTGGCGTAGACATGATATCCATCTGGCCGTCGACCAAAGGGTGGGTGTACTGCTCAGCAGTCCGCTCCGTCCTTCTTTACTGCTAGCTGTGAAACCTGGACATTGAGAGTGAAAGGCATGAAATGGCTTGCTAGCTGTATGTGATCATAGGTGTCTGCGTTCTATCTCCCTCCCGTGTGAAGTGGCCGGTGTAATAGGGTGAGAAACATTGAGGTTAGGCTTCGGTCGAGTGCTAGGTAAACATGTGAAATCAATGGATGAGGCTGTGAAGCTACATCGACTGTGATGGTTAGGACATGTGTTACGTATGCTTAGTCATCGCGTTCATCGACAATGGACACTGTAAGCTGACATAGGGTCAGGTTGGAATAGAGCTAGCGGTGGTCAAACCAAAACATGGCACCAGTCAATGAAATCCACAACAGTTAGTTTAAGTCACGAAGGAAGGTGTCTCTATTATGCATTTCTTCTACTTTCTTCTGGTGCTTTATGTGCTACATGGAGGGAGTGTGGCGACTTGAACTGGTGCACATTGGTGCAAAGTTCTATGTCGAAAACATACAGACAGACTCAGCTCATGAGCAGTGTAATCAAGTAGATAGTCAGAATTCGGGTGGTTTTCAATTGATTCAACTGTCTGAGCCTAGCTAAATCGAATAATAGCACCACTGAGAAACTAATATAAGTATAAAACTTGGGCGCTGTGGTGGTAGAGTAAAACTCCATTATGGATAAGATTTGATTTTGATAAATCATACAGTGTTACACAGTAATATTAACTGATGACCACGTTTCGAGCACAAATTATTGCCATTCATAATCATATCAAGGCACTACTCACACAACTTTTTCCCTTCATTTATATACATGTGGGGAATTGACCAGATATTTGAATAAAAATCAATGGGATAATATACATTCAGAAATAATAAGACGAGTGCTTTTGGAGTCATAATAAGTAACTTCATAGAATGTTGTAATGTGATTGAATTAAATAGAATTTGAGATTATTTATTATCCTCTTCTGATTTGACTGACTGGTGGTAATAGTATCTTCCATATTTCTGGTATTTGCATTGAGTCATTTCTGTTGCATGTGTCGTGTTGAGTGTAGATTCAATGAACCAGGCAGGATTGAGTGAACAGTCTTTCTCTCCACCTACATAGATTACTTCTTAGAATCTTAACGTCATCAGTTAATATTACTGTGCAAATATATAGATAGTTATTTAAACTTTAATTCATCTCATCCGTTAACTGTTAAGACAGGCTTAGGTAAGAGTTCAACAAACCGAGCAGTAGCACTAAGTAGCACAAGAAAAAACCTAAATGATTAAATAAAACAGATAGAAGAGGCGTTGGTGTTAAGTAACTATCCCATTGAAATTCATCAGGAAGATCGAAAATGGCCAAAAGCAAATTAAAAATAATTGTGAAACTAGTAGTGATGACATAAATGAGAGAGAGTATAAGTCATTCACTATTATGCCATATAAGGAGGGGACATCTGAGACCCTACGTAGGATTCTTAATAAAGCAGGAATTACAGTGGTATTCAAACATACAAACTCACTCAGAGAAAGGCCCTTTAGGCTGAAAGACCGGTGGACCCAATTAAACAAAATAATATCATTTACAAAATACCTTGCAATGACTGTGAGTTAAGTCAACTACATTGGTTAAACTAGTTGATCGGGGGTAGTCAGATTGTCGGAACATAAAAATTTAGCTAAGGTAAGAATGGTTGACCCCGAGGAGATAAGTAATTTAGAAAAAAGTTCAGCAACTGCACTGCATGCCTTAACACACAATCACACAGTAGGGTGGGAGAGGGTCACAATTCTAAGAAGTAATTTATGTACGTAGAGAATGAGAGAGATTGATTACTGAATCCTCCCTGGTTTCATCGAGTCTACACCCAACACGACACATGCAACAGAAATGACTCAATGCAAATACCAGAAATACCACCATTCAGTCAAATCAGAGGAGGATAATAATTAATCTCAAAATTCTATTTCAATTCAAGCATATCACAACATTCTAACAAGTAGCTTATTATGACTATAAAATCACTCGTGTTATTTCCCATCTGATTGTAATTGATCAATAACACTCATGTTATTATTATTTCTGAATGTACATTATCTCATATTGATTTGTATTCAAATATCTAGTCAATTCCACTCATGTATATAAATGAAGTAAAAAGTTGTGTGAGTAGTGCCTTGATATGATTATGAGTGGTGATAAATTGTGCTCGAAACGAGGTCATCAGTTAATATTACTGTACGAACTGTAACAATTGTGGAGTACATATCATACACACATATATAGAGAGATTATTATCAGCATTTCATGACTGTCATCATCTTTAACATCATCATAATTATCTTTTCTTAAAGATATCAAGAAAATAATCAATAACTGTTAGAAGATAAATACATACATATGTATATTCTCTCTTTTCTATTTTTCTAATAAATTCTCATGGCATGTCATGTTTATATATATTTTATCACGCATTGTTTCTTTACAATAATCCATTTTGAGCGCGTATAACTGTGTGCATACTGAAATCTACACATCATTTGATAGGTATATATATATATATATATATATATATATATATAATATTATTTTAACAATACACCCTTATCATATACTATACTTACTTACTCCAAGCAGAATAAGGGTTCTGCTTAGCTTACTGAAAATATTGAGCTCACAACTAGGACATAGCTTTTATTCAAGGATTGGTGTGCATGGTTTTGATTGATTGGTTACAGGATTTCATCGTGAGTTGATATTGGGTTACAAAACCATTGAGAAACCTGAGAGTACTGGACAGCCAGCTGTTTCATTCTAGCTTGGAACTTTTTAGTAGTACACATCCACCGCCAGAGTTTGATTGAGCACATCACCTTCTGGTTACAAGGCTAGCGACCTGGTAGACTATTCAGTCACTGGGACCCTAGTGAATTTCAACTTTGCCACTTCACGATATAGCGCGACCACTAGCCAATGTCACACCTGATCTGCCTTACCCCTGCCATCCAGTACTTTCAGGTTTTCCAATGGATAGCTGTTGACTTAACATGGTAGTTGGGTTTGCATGCCATAGTGAGATAACGAGCTGCACTGGCTAGAACTAATGTTCCTTGAGGTGTTACTATACCAGAAAGGTCATTTGAATGGTGTAAGTCGTTTAAGCTATGTTGGAGGTCTGTGGGCAAAAACGTGCTGCCGGAGAATTTGAATGTAACAATGGTTGGTCAGGTGTTTCTCTTAGATGACCAGCATACCAGCTATACTATTTCTTCTCTCTGAAGAGGTGGGGGTTAGCAAAAGTTTTATCCTAAAAATGTTACATCCCAAGTCACCGTGAGGTGGTCCGTAGATGGCGGCAGGTTCGTAATACGGACACAAACTGGAAAAATCAACTTAAATAGACCGTATACGACCAGCCTCGAGCAGCTATCCCCTGCACTGTGCGGCCACGCAACACAAACAGATTCTACTTCTGTCTCGAGTACCTCAAAGAGGAAGTCAAACAATCGTCCATTTATATACTGAAATGTATTGGAAAATGGTAATAATATGAAATGTAAATTTGACCGATGATGCAGTGAACAGTAGATCGCTATAGTATTCAGAGTGTATTTTTAAGTTCGATTTGAATCCTATGGATTCCTCTTAATGGAATCTCAAACCTGAAATCTATCATTTCGAATGATAGGAGAACTTTGAATTTAAAACATTAATATCTACGGGATTTATGATGCATCCAAATGATAGAAAATATGTGGTGTATTCTGCTGAACCTTAATATAAAATAACATTAACAATAATGATTTCGCTTGATGATTTCCTAGTAGATTTTCCATAGCGTCAACTCTTAAATTTCAAGAAGACTCACACAATAATAGTGGAAACGTATATCGCTTAGTGAGCGAGTAAATAGGAGTGTAATTTCAATAAGGATACAAAAGGTATCACGGACTACTTATGCTGCAACATTAGTGAGCATTTATTAGTGTGATGGAATTTGATTGGTTGGTTATTTGAATAGCTTTTAGGCGTTTTTCAACGTGCAGAAATCTGATTGGTTGGTTATCTGATTAACTAACGTATAGGAGATCAATATTTGTACGATTTTAAATTTAACTGACAGACTATCTAGGTAGTTTGTAGCTACATATAGTGTGTTCGATTCCGATGTTGAATATGCATAACTATAAAATCTCAGTTCACTCTGTGTCAGTATGTCCTTACAACGTCATAATGTGTCAAAACAGGTTGATCAGTCCAGTCACATAGATCAGAAACTGGGGAAATCATGAATTCTCGTAAACTTATTTAACGTTTTAATACGAATCATGGAGACGACTACTAGTAGACTTCATTTGTCTTAGCTCCAGATAGGCTGGCTTATTTCCTATTATTTGAATTTTATTGTCAAACTGCTAAAGGTAGTGTGTGTGTGTATGTATGTATGTAGACGCAAAACGCTTTTTCAATAAATAAAATTGACCTAACCAGATTAAAAGAGGCGAAACGTCAAAAATAACTTAATTTAAACCGTCAAGTAGTGAGGAGCAAGAGAAGAACCGGTCAACGCGGTAAAAAATTAACGACCTGAACCCGACAATATTGTCTTTCTTTTAGCAGGGATAGGACTCAATGCTTCGCAGTGTGATAGCTGCTCGAGCACTTACGTCTCTCTGACAAAACATTTAGTCGTCTGCAAACGATTTAGTATCTTCACGCTCATACCACAATTAGATATCGTGTCGACCCCTGCACCCCGAAATCCGGAGCATAGTTTATGGTCATCGCTCTGGCGTAACACTAGACCTAATAGGCCTAGCCGATCACATGGTCCAGTCCAGACACCAAAAGGAATACGTAAGCTTCCCCAGCCACGTGTCAGATACGGAATGTACCGTTGCAAATATGGACGGGATTCAAAATAAGAGGCGTTTATTCTTAATCCCTTAGGTGGTAGCTTAGCACCATTGGCCTTTCGACTAAGCACATATACCAATTGTCTGAACCTGCGTACTAAATAGGATTACCATAGCAACGGCTAGATTGTACTTCACTGATTACTGTACTCATTAGTAGGGCAAAACTAACCTATCTCACGACGGTCTTAACCCAGCTCACATTCCCTATTAGTGGGTAAACAATCTAATGCTTGGTGAATTCTGCTTCACAATGATAGGAAGAGCCGACATCAAAGGATCAAAAAGCGGCGTTGCTATGATCGCTTGGCCGCCACAAGCCAGTTATCTGTGTTCGTCAGTGGCACAGTGTGGTTAGGATTCTCACCGACCATGCATATGGTCCGGCGTTCGATCCCTTGCCGACGCACACCTGATATCTATGATCGGCCTGCAAAATTTGGGCTACCGATATCACATGCTGAAAATTCAATACCTGTCCCAAAAAATACGGTGTGGAATCAAGCTGAAATTAAAAGAATAGTACACTCATAGTGGCCTTCACATTTATTCCGCACTAACTTTAAAAGCTGGACCCTCATTGATGGTCACAAGTTTTTAAACTTATTAGTGAATGTAGCATCTATCAGGGTTACCTCAACAGTTCGTCATCTCTCCTCGTTTTCCTGTGCCGATGGTATTATTATGATAGGGGTATTTGACATCGTAATTAGTGTTATTCGAGTAGTTTTCAGTAGGTTCATATCGTTCACAGTCTGTTAGGTCATATTACCGTACATCCTCCCATACCTCTATAACTGGCTCCATGATTATCCACAATGTCTTATTTTCAATTCACAGGATATCTTCTGTGTCGTCACACAATTGAACTCACGCCCAGTTCGACTTTCCTCTTATAGTGATCACTGCTAGCAATTCTAATCTTATATAAGTGTCTTTTGAAACACACACACATTTATCTGATTACACGTATGAAAATCCAATGTTCAATGATATTTAACAAGTTTCATTGAATTCTAGATTTTCCCGTCGATTGATTGGACCGAAGTGCTAGTGTAACAACAGAAGACAAGGGCCAGGCAACAGATCGTTTTATTATGAAAATCAACACGTATTTATACATATTTCAGACAACATTATTATAGACAAGCGCAGTCATCTGATTGGTTCTTTAGGTAGACAAACGCAGGCTTCTGATTGGTTGTTTCGGGATTCCTTGACAAACAGAGTTCTCTATCTGCGAATCATATTTTGCCACGTTAACTTCGCTGTGATTGGTTGTTGACTCAGCCTTGTTCACGGCCCATATTAGTGACCTAGACCTTAACGTAGATTAGTGCCAACCAATCGGCTAGCAGCCTGCTCTCACCACACTCGTCCCCCCGTCAAATACGTGCGACTGAAGTCGGCTTGATCTACTTGGTGCAGGCGTCATCGTTGGCTTGTCTCGCTGTATCCATTTCTGGAGCTCGCTGACGTTCACGCGCCTCTCATTGTTCGCCATTGCGACTGTGTCTGCGTAACCCCATCTCGAAGTGACCATATATGGTCCTTCCCACTTTGGAAACTGTTTGCCTGACCCTGTCGAACATTCGTCCATACTTCGGCTCACACTTTCATATGCTGCTTTCACCCGACCTCCCAGCAGCGTCCCAAGTAGCAGCTCCATCGCTGACAGATCTTGAACGCCACTCAACTGCGCAGAAGCCTTGAAGTCCTGCCCGAAGATCCATATGTCTCCATCGAAAACAGCAGGGCATAGGCTTTCCATTTGTCGGTAGGCAGCGACACCAAATGTAACAACAGAAGACAAGGGCCAGGCAACAGATCGTTTTATTATGAAAATCAACACGTATTTATACATATTTCAGACAACATTATTATAGACAAGCGCAGTCATCTGATTGGTTCTTTAGGTAGACAAACGCAGGCTTCTGATTGGTTGTTTCGGGATTCCTTGACAAACAGAGTTCTCTATCTGCGAATCATATTTTGCCACGTTAACTTCGCTGTGATTGGTTGTTGACTCAGCCTTGTTCACGGCCCATATTAGTGACCTAGACCTTAACGTAGATTAGTGCCAACCAATCGGCTAGCAGCCTGCTCTCACCACACTAGGTCTCAGGTTGACATGTCTGTTGGCTTCTTGTGCAGATGCTTCAGCGATATCTGGGCATGTAATCAGAATTTCATTGGTGGGTGGTGACTAGCAGTGGAATCCAGGATAACGCGCATTTCTTCCTGCCTGGGATTCGTCAGCTGGATGTGCCTGCATTCTAAGTCAGTGAGTGATGATATTCCCACCGAGGCTCGAACCCAGTGCCCATAGTTTCAAACGCTAAAGCGACGGGAAAATCTAAAATTCAATTAAATAATTCATTAATATGACCCGTTGCACAAGAGGTGGCTCTCGTGACTCAAGTGGTCCAGTGGATAATAGCGCTTTGGCGTTTGAAAATATGGGCACTGGGCTCGAGCCCGGGTGGGAACATCATCACTTACTGGGGAATACAGGCACATACAGATAATGAGTCCCGAACAGGACGAAATGCGCGTTATCCTGGATTCCACTACTAGTCACCATCCACTAATTAAATATTTAGCAAGTGTTGTGTATTTTCAATATTTTAATTCCTGATTATTTCTATCGTAAATTACACACACACACACTACCAATAATTCTACAAATATGATTCACATTAGATGTTTTTTTTTCAATTTTTCATATCAAAATACAGACATGAATGGTGTACATTTTGCTACACAAAGTCCTCGATTTTGTTTGCACAACCTTTGAACTGGCACATATATTATTTATTCAATAAACAAATAGTTTGAAAAGTAAACACTTACATGGAAGTTACAAAGCACACTGTTTTTATAAAATAACTCATAAAATTACCCATACCAAATGTGGATCCTTTTGTTTTTGCAATATACACCTTAGACTTTGTATTCTTGAAGCTTGTATTTTTTCAAGTAGCTTATGACGATAGATAATTAGATTGTTAGCACAACATATTTCAAATTCTCTGCCATTTTTTATTGCCATGGTTATAACCTTTAATTATATGTCTACTTTTCAGTTAATCTCTAATTTATTTTATGTGGCTATTAACTGCTTATGAAGTTAGCCATAGTTTAATGCCAACAATAAGCTTATATTAACCTCCTTAGACATTCTATCGGTTGTCACTTCCCCATATATACTTTTCCCCGTCCAAGAAAAGTCCAGTTCAATATTTCTCTCCTTAGACGTTATTTTAGACAGGAGAAAGCCAATGTTTACAAGGTAGTACTCTGAATTTTAACACCTTGGCATCTCCAGTTAGAAAGAGATGATCTTAATCATTCATTGTGTTTCAGATTTCTGAAACGTCACTCTAAAGATACAGTTGAAGAAGAAATTGAAAGCCCTCATACAACACCTAAATAATGGATATTTTTGAAAATGTATTGGAAGAAATTTATTATTATTGCTATTGTTCCCTTAGGTTCCCAATGGAACATACGGCTTGAACTGCACGTCTCCACTTGCTTCTGTCTTCTGCTCTACTTTTCACCTACATCAATCCATGTTAGTCCATACTGCTTCAACTCCTCTTCACACCATCTCCTCCATGTCACCCTCACACTGACGTCCCACTCGCCGCTTCCCTTTCGGCCTGGTTCCACTCGAGCAATGGCCTGACGTGCTCGCGATGTCACCCAGCGATGGCCTCCTCAGCGAGTGTCCAATCCATCCATCTCCACTTTCTCCTGCATATTTGTTGGTTGGTGATTGGTTTGTTCTTGTTTTGTTTGTTCCCCGCCATAGTTTCTTGTTGGTGATTCTTTCCGACCCGGCCCGGCCATCTGATCTTCAGTATAGATCCAGCGAAGAGATTTGCTGGTTGATAAAGGTCTGGTCTACAACAGGCTGTTGGAAATATTCTTTGTAACCCGCCCGCCAAGTTTGTGATTCGTATAGAAGAACTGGCTTTACGTTTGTATTGAAAATCCGACTGAAATTTGTTGTTGATGCTGAGTGACGAAGATTTCCTTCCAGATTGGTTTCAGGTTGATGAATGTGTTCCCGATTCTCGCTCGATTTGACTTGCTCGTCCGTTCTGACTTCCTGTAGTTGAGACAAGGCTCCCTAGACAAGTGAATGAAGTAACCTCTTTCAAATAATAATTCGTGAGGCAAAGGAGTGGGTCGGTAGCCGGGGATCGAACGAGTATTCTACTGCTGTGCCACTGACGCACTACTTTAGTAACACCGATGTTTTTTTGTGGGTTAGATTCATTCCACTTAATTTCATCTCCGCCCTTTTTTAATGTTATCGTCGTCGGACTTTTATTATTTTGACGACACTTAACCTACTTTTAAAATCTTAGTGCCCTATTCCTTACCAATTTAATAATCTATTAAAATTTTGCGATTCATCCGCTTCAACTCTATTTATGATGATTATTTATGATAATTAAATCAGCTACGGACATTAGATCATATTATACTGCACGGATAACTGTAGTAATTCTTTAGCTAATGCTTGCAGTTATGTCCTGACCAGCAAGACAACGAATGCATTTATTAAAGCAGAACCAACAGGCGGTGGGGGGATTCAATTTCAGCTGTCTCTGTTGAATTCTGTGATGACTCTGGGTAACTTTCATGATTGCAGTCACTCTTGTCTCAGAGATGGATCATTCAAATATCTGCCATATCAATTTATTGGCAGGTGATCTGCTTACCATGATGATATTGACGGGTAGCGAAGGATTAAGGTTCGATTCCGGAGAGGGAGCCTAATAAATGGCTACTACATCCAGAGGCAGCAGCAGGCACGAAAAATGTACTCTGCCGTCACAGAGAAGTAGTGATGAAAAATGCCAATACGGGGGACTGCATTGAGAAGACTCCTTAATTCGTATGAGTCTGTCTGACTGTCTTTTTTCGACATAGAACTTTGCACATATGTGCGGCAGTTCAAGTCGCCACATTCCATTCGTATGAGTACAACTTCATTTCATGATAAGTACCTTTAATCGTATCATATGAATAATGCAGTACACTAAAATGTGTAGTCTTATATGCAGTCTTATAAACTACAAACGAATGAATTCCTATTGAATATCAATTAAAATAAACCTCCTTGATTCACTTTTCAAGTGGGTTCAGTAACTGCCATCAGATAGCCAACCATTGACAACCAGGGAATTTTGAACTCTTCAGCAATACGCACTGAATCCAGTGACCCGTGAACTCCAATGTCTGTCAATGCCCAGTGTATATAACGCCATCGCGATAGAGTCCTTGCAGTTAGTTTCAAAATTTGTGATCCATCGGGTCTACCAAATTGGATGTGAGGCGAAATACTCGACATTGATGGTGGCTAACAGTGGTGAGGATTTATTGATCATTAGATTGTGACCTAGTTAGTAGCTGGGTATCAAAATGCTTGTCTCTTAACTTGAATTCCTAAGGTTTAATTCTTTAAGGAGTCCTGAGTGTACTTCAATATAAACAACATATCATTAACACTGACTTCATTTTGAATTAAGCGCTTAAAATGTTGTCCAGAAGGATATGATAAAACCGGCCGGGCTCAGATAACACCAACACATCAAAAATAAATCCACTTGAGCCTATAAGTTTCAAATGACTTGATTGTGCATTATTCCCAATCACGTGTTTTGTTGTGCTCATCTGAATGAATTATGCCTCTTGACAGATTGAATTATCTGTGATAGACTTCTTTATTACAACATTATTTACAATAAATTTTCAAATGGAGGTTTGTAGGGATTTCATTCGTTCTCAAGCTGGTTAACCACAGATTGATGTTAGTTATGCAGCCATTAAAAACCAGGGAGTTACTACTGATCACCTGTAAAAAATTATATTTGTCAAATCTCAGCGAGATTGAAATGAGTAATTCCAACGTTTCCTGTGTTCGCCAAACTGGTTCGAACTTCTTCACGGAAATTAATCGAAATTAATAATAACAAAGGTTTATATATAAAAAGGGGGATATCTCTTATTTTTTTAAAAACTTTGTCCAATCATATGAGTCATGAAACAAGTATCAACATGTATAATAAACAAAATTGTATGAGCTGTGATCAAAATTTGACCTCGGACTTACAAATATTGGTCTACCTTTGTTAAACACTTTAAACAGAGTGCATTTGTGTATATGTGTGTGGGTAAATAGTTGTAAAACATTACTTAACGTCTCCATAAGAAGAAATAGACAATCGGGAATTTTGACCAGGTATTAGTAATTAGTGACATATATCCATTTTCATGTATTTATTAATCAGGATTTCCTATGCATCAGCTAACATCACGCCTTCATGTCTGTTCAAACTGTTAGTATCTAGAATCTTATGATTAGACGTATTTTCAAAATTATGGTGTTTAGGATTAGAGTTTAGTTGAAGCACCCTGTCAAACTCATGACTTTGTCTTCTTTCTGAAAATTGAGCTGATTTATTCGACCTACTGGAGTTGTCAGTTGACTGGACAGCTACGGATTTAGGGTACGCATTCTATTGCAGACAACTGAGGAGAGTGAAAACACAATGTTTGTGCCAAATACACAGTTTCTTTGTCAATTTAGTTCGATTGCAAAATAATTCAAATGAACTGTCGTCAAGATTTAACAGAATAGTTCTAAAATACGTCTAATCATAAAATTCTACATACTAACAGTTTGAACAGACATGAAGGCGTGATGTTAGCTGATGCATAGGAAATCCTGATTAATAAATACATGAAAATGGATATATGTCACTAATTACTAATACCTGGTCAAAATTCCCGATTGTCTATTTCTTCTTATGGAGA